TCTCTCCGCCATATAAAAAAATGGATTTTTATTTTAAAATAACCGATTATAATGGATTATTTTTGGCAAAAATAATCGATTTCAGTGACAAAAATAATGGATTATAATCCATTATTTTTATCACTGAAATCGATTATTTTTGCCAAGATAATCCATTATAATCGATTATTTTGAGCCTTTATAATCGATTATTTTGAGAATTTATGCCCTGTCTTTTACTAAATGCCATGTCTCAACTTCGTCCCCTCGCCCCCTCAAGCTTTTACCCCCCCCCCCCCCCCCCCCCCCCCCAACTAAAGGGGCAGGGTAAACTGGGGGAGGGGTGTAAACTGGGGGGTATAAACTGGGGGGATGGGGAGGTAAACCGGGGGGGGGGGTTAAATTAATCTGGGGGGGGAGTAAATAAACCGAACGGGGTGGGGTAAATAAACCGGGGGAGGGGGTTAAACTGGTCATCCCCTCGCCCCCTCAAGCTTTGTTACCCCCCCCCCCCCCCCCAGCTAAAGGGGCAGGGTAAACTGGAGGCTGGTGGGCAGGTGGGAGGGGGTAAACTGGGGGGGGGGGGGGGGGGGGGGATAGTAAACTGGTGGGTAGTAGTATACTGGGTAATGGGGGCTTAACTGGCTGGGGGGGTAAAATGAAGTGTTAAACTGCGATGAATTAGAAAAAGTTGAGACAAAAAATTTATAAGTTTTTTTCTTAAATGTAACATTTTATGAAACATAACACGTAGCAACTACACTAAACAGGAAATGAGATAATTTTGAAGAACATTGTGAATTTTATGAATAATTCCTCAAAAAAATCCATTATAATCGATTATAATCGATTATAATGGATTTTATTGGGATAAAGAATATTAGGATTATAATCCATTTTTAATGGATTATAATCGATTATTTTGTCATTTTATAGATGCTGACCATATTATGACAATATAATCGATTATGATCCATGGGCGGTTGGTGCGGGTACTGAAGAGTTTCGTATATAACTTTTCCGAACAATGACACGGTCAAAAATGTTTGTCTTGGTGTAGATATTCTGTCTGTGTCGGCTGCTCGTTACTGTTGCAAAGTTTGTGGGTTTTGTCTGATTTTGGAATAAGTTGCACTGGTTCTTTGTTCTGCTGTTATATGTCTTATCTGTACACTTGTTCGTAACAACCTATCTGATGTTGTGTGTGTATAATTGAATCATTTGAGCCTAATGAAGATACCCCATAATAATGGATAGTGTTGTTATTTTTTTTAAATATCACTCTGCAGTCGTAAAGGAGTAGTGCAATGTCTGTAGCTTTCAATTGACAAGATTGATTGGTTTGACTTATACAATTTCGGTGAATTCTGTTGAACATTGAATGAGTTCCTGCAATCTGAAAACTGCTGCGTCTGTCAAAGAAGTCACTGAACGGGTTGGTTTTACTCAGCAAAGATTTTTCCAAAAGTCTACAGATCCGTTCAATTTCACTTGACAAACACGGAATCTGCTCACGCGGACAAGTGGGTTTCAATTGAACCAGTTTTCTTAATGATTTTGTTGTTTCTAGAATTTAAGAGCGGCTAAAGAAATGGAAGCTAAGTCTTAAATATAATAAGTCAGTATATCTAACAAAGGAAAGAATCAAAAGCTTATCAAAAGTTTCAATGAATTGAAATTTCCGTCTAGAGGCGTTTTTTGCCAATCGTAATGTTCCGCCTTTCACTCATGCGCGAGCGAAAAAGATTAAATTTTGAAATTAATTTCTGTTTATTGTGAAATTGTCTTTTTATGATTGTTTTAAATTCATCAAACCAAATCGAAATTATTATAGATTTTGTTTCAAATTTTGTAACAGAAAAACAGTTAAGTGCATAGTTATTTAAAATTCTATTAAAAAAACTTAAATCTGAGACTTAATTTTCCAAATCTGTAATGTTTTATGTTCTTTTTTTTACCGAATGTCAATTTACAAAAAAAGACCTTCTGTGAAATAATACAAAATGTTGTAAACTTTGCTCTGCTTTCACAGAAATTTTTTTTAAAAATTTTTACGGTGTAATCCCTTTGCCACAAAGTGCGAAATTTGCAGACAAGCTATATTTTTATCTAGATATACAACTTTGTCTTTTTTGTTGTTGCACAGCTCAGTCATGCGTGAGTAAGGTAGACTAAATTTTTATAAAAATGAAAAGTAGTTCTCAGGAACTACTTTAGAACAAGGATAGAAAATGCGACGAAATCCGGGTTTAACTGCTATAGGTTTGTCCACACATATTTTGAGTTTCTTTTGCTGGTGTATGCTAAAATCATGCATTTTAAAAAATTTCC